TTCACACGTCCGAGGAATAAAAGAGTGGCTAAAAAAAAAAAAAGCCAGTTGATCATGTGAGTAACAGCACAGTAGGAGTGATCCCATCTCACCCCTTCCTGCTCAAATGAGAAGGCCAGCTGCAAATACAGCTTTCCCACATCTGCACAGGATCCCAGGAGATGGGTGGTCAAGACAAAAACTCCCTCACTACATTACAGAAAGAGGACTCCTTTCCCAGTTATTGTTTTTGGACTAACGGGAGCAAAGACGTGCAAATTGTCTCGTGAATTATTGCACAGATGATTGCCTCCGGATGGGAAAAGCGATCACGTGCGCTTGAGATGATAGAATATGTAATGTAACGAAAACTTGACATTGCTTAGCGGTGACACCTCCCGAGAAGCAGAAGAGCGTGTGTATTCTGTTGTGTTGTCTTTGCTGAGATCACATCAATGCTTTGTGTTTTAGTCTGCAGGTCAAACGCAGTAAGGTCAAAGGTTATTGTGATAGCCATCAGACCTCACTACACCCAGATGCTCTATAAAGAGCTAAATACTGGTACTTGTAGTTCATGCTTAACAAAGAAGGTTCCGAACGGCCCTAAACACGGGTTGCTTACATAAAGATCCACTAAGTATGTGTGTATGTGACTTTTTCCATCTGATGGGAATGTGATCTATCCCTTTTTAGTGCTCCACATAGCCCCGCTTTTCTGTAATGTCAACAGCAGCTCACTTTGCAAATTGACTTTCTCTGTCATCTAATGACAATAGAGGCTGGCCCTTGACTTCTTTATGACTTCCCCTTTATGAGTTCTTGGTTGATTGTGCCTTTACGAAGCCCTTGATAAAGACTAAAGTAAATAGAACTTTCGACAAAGCCCGTGGAAGACTGAGGCTGTTGTGAAAGGCTTTCTCCCTCCTTATGGCTGAATGCCAGCCCTATAGCATGGGACAGAGATGAAGAGGGTATACTCGCCAAAAAACAGGCTATATGAGAAGCTCCTGAAAAGTTCCACTGAGGCGATGAAAAAGCTCTTCCTTCAGCATATAATATGCTTTTTTTTCATCGTACAATAACATCACATATTGCAAGCACATATAGTGGAAAACAGAAAGGAATAAACACATAACACTGCAGCTTTAGTGGAAATCTGTGCGTTGTTTTCAATCAAATTCCATCTCTGCTTTTACCTTTGCCTCACTGTTCTGTGAATGTACACATTGCGGTGGCCCTGCAGTGGAAATAGATTGGAAAACTTTGAATAGATGATGGATTCCAAATATTTTTTTTTAAAACTGCTCGAATTATTTCTCACACCAGCTGCGCAGTCTCCCTCAGTAAGCACAATGGGCCAACAAGAGATGACCCTCATGTGAAACAAAAGCCTCATTTCCTGCTTTGTGAAAGTGCTGGGACACTAAACCAAGATAAAGGGACTGAAACAGGAAGTCAGGTGAGTGTTTGGCATGTAAGATGGTGAACTTCCTCCTTTTTTTTTTTGCTATAGAAGGCTCATAAAACAGCCAGTTAAAAGCCACCTTTCCTTCTGCTTACCCCCTGACAGACACACAACACCACTGGGTGTCCACTGCATTTCTTACATTCTTCAGGCCGGTTAAGCCGGAGGCCTCAAGATTCCCACCCCCACCACATTCGATCAGCTGTTCAGTGCGATTCGGAGAATGGCCGCGAGCATCTCACTGTCCTGTGGGACAGTATCTCTCCTACCTGAGCGCCCACTAAGCGTAGTTTAGCCAGCGAAAACAATGTGGCTAAAATCTATTTACTACCCTTCCTCTCTCTGTATGACACCCAGTTTTTGTTGTTGTTATCACCCACCCATCGGCACAATGCTGGACACTTGCCTCCGCAGCCTCTTTCAATGGACGGAAATTGGGAATGTAAAACAGAGCAGTAGTGAGAGGACATGCGGCTCCCATCAGCCTCCATTCAAACAATGGAGAATCTCCCAGTGTTTAGCTGCTACTTCCTCCTGAAACACAGCACCAACAATGAGGCGCTATTGTGTCTGCCGTTTGCAGCAACAGTGTCTGGATGAGCGCGCATCTTCAAATAGTCTGGCACTGAGACAAATTATTTAAAGCAAAAGGGGGGTTTTCTCTGACAAGATAAAACAATTAAAATCTTCAGAGATCACCGGAAAGATAATCGGAAACCACGGGAGAAATAGAATTGGACGCAAAAAATGGAGCAACTATTGTGCTTGTTCACTGCACATAACTGACAATTACAAAACCTTTCAATTTCAACTGTATTGTCCCCAAAGGAAACTTTGTCTTGGAGCCAGGTGAAATATTTGAATGGAAAACGTGATAGGTTAGATAAAATGTATAAAACATATATTTTACAAGGAAATGAATACCATTTAGACAAGCGCCACCAATGCCAACCGTTGCAATTAACAAAAATATGAAGAGAGATGCAAGATTTGACTCTTTAAAGTGTCACAAATCTGAAACAAGGTCTTCAAAATAGAAAAAGGACGGGTTCTTTTGTTTTGGGATTACAAAGCAGACACTGTTCACATGACAAATACTTCAAAAGAAAAAGCTGATCATTAGAGATCAACATATATTTACTCAGGGTATCAAACATTTATGATGAAGCTCCATATAAAGTTAACTCTACGACCGCAGTGCATTCGACAACAGGCAGCACCATCTTTTCTGCCTATATTGCTCCCCGATGAAAGATTTAGAAATGTGCAGCCCGTAGCACAAGTGTTTGTTTACATGGTATGAAATAATACTCTCTCTCAGACAAGGGGTCTCTGCGGCCTTGATAAAGATCATGGGTATTTATTACACCCAGAAGAGCCCTTTTCAGTGAATTGTTTGATAATAATCTAGCACACACTGGAGAGGTTTTCTGATTCTTAGTGCTTACATTGTCATTATGCAAAAACAAATACAGGCAAACAATGGAGACAAAGCCAGTGACACAAAGATGAACGGAGGGCTGTCAGATCAGAGTCCATCAAAATCCCGGCGTATTGAGAGCAGAGAGGACAGTTTAAATGTGGATGGAGATCTTGGTATATGCTATACAATGAACGTCCCTTGAGACTGACTTCTGTGTCCTGTAATTGCCCCGAGTCATAGCTCTCTGGTCTCAAAGGCACAGAGAGAGAGAGGGGAGATATCTACAGACCAATCGCAGCCCAGTTAGTCAAACCTCCATCAGCTGGTCACAGCTCCATCTCTCACACTCCTCTCACTCCTCTGGGGGAGAAAAGCACTGGGCTGGAGCCAATTCAGAACTCCAGTGTTACACACACACACACACACACACAAAGAAAGCCCAAGACAGAGCGACAGAGAAAGACCTTGACCTGCTCATTCTCCTCTAAAACCTCAATGCCAAAGCTCGGGCTCTAAATAAATACAGCCTTCAAAAGGGAGAGATAGTTGAACCCTCCGGAACCAACACTTTGTTTCAGCCCTGGTTTTGCAGATAATCCCTCCCAAATCCCAAATCTCTGTGGGATTCCCAGTCAGCCAGAGTGTGAGAAATATAGAGATGGAGAGCTTACAAAACATGCAAAAGCTGGTATGAGTTTCAACAGCTAATTTGGAAGCAAGCGAGTACACTGGATGAGGTAATTGATATTACGGTTTGGGTCAAACTAAATAATTGATAATGTAGATACACGCGGTAGATATAGTTATGAAGTCATGTCACTACATGAACACCATATCTCCGGGATCTTGTTTCAGTTGGAATGCCGGCGAGACTGAAAAGCCGTTAAACACCAGCCACATGATTATTTGCATATTCACTCAGGCAGTCCTACTGAGGCAGGGGCACAAGCAGGATTTTAGAAATATCGAGGTTTAATCCCTTCACCTCACATTGTTCCACTTTTATTCCTCAGGCTTGTTCAACTAAAAGAAGCAAATCAGCAGGCTATTAAACAGTTTAATCAAGTGTGCAAGTTCTGAAACATAAATAACGCTGACTTAAGACTGCTTTTGTACAGTTGGCTGACCATTAAACCAATTCTAGATTGTTATCATTGAAAGTTTAGTATTCAGCAGTTGAAAAAAAAAAAAAAGTGCATGTTGCTGTATTTCCTCAGCAAACACTACAAAAGCCACAATCTCTGCCTCCTAAATGGCCTGCAGACACGCCACTCAAGAGCCTCCCTGTGTGTAAACAGCAGTCATTCAGTGGAGCCCTCGCAGCTGGGAAGGCATACGATTCAAACACTTCTGAAGAAAGGTCACCATCGGTCCTGTAAAAACAAGAGGCCCTCTCAATCTTGCTCCAGGCCTGCAACAGCCTATACCCAGCTGGGCACTCTTCATTTACTGCCCCTGCCATCGCATTCTCTATTAATCACAGCAAAGAGCCAAAGCCTATATATATGCTCGTGGGGCTGGTTGATCCACCCACACTGAATGCTGAGGCCAATCACTGGACAGGTGAGGTCAGAGTAGATTAATAATCAGAGTGTAAATCCCCCCCATCACAGGCAGGGTGAAAGCTCCTCAGGATCTCCTCTCAGTTCTCCGCTTATTGATCGGCAGCAACTTCATTCCCATCATTCACCGTGGCAGCAACCACTCACACTTTAGCAAAGTGCAGCAGGGCTGAAAATGGTCAGGCATCTCCCTGGTATTTACCTGTGGCTCAGTTTCTTACCTTATTTTGCTGTTGAACACGAGTGGAATGGGCCCTTTCTACAAGCTGCGCTCTTCTATGACTGACAGTGGGCTTAAACAATATGATGGATGATCCTGAGCAGGTCGCAGCCACTTTGGAGCGATACAAACTCCTCGGACACAATGCAAAAACAACCACCTCTGCAAATCAATGCAATTTTGGTTTTAGTCAATAAAACTGTATTTTCTCCAACACGAAAGATGTTGTGGCTATTGTTTATAAAAGTAAACCCTTTAAACAATAAATACCAATCAGTAATATGTCATATGTGGCGGTCCCTTTTGTGCCATGTGACCATCATAGCCTGCGTCTATCCAGGTTCCTCTTACCTTATTAGAGTAGGGCGGCTTGGCGAGGTTGATTCCATCTCTGATGAGCTTATCCCTGATCATGATCTTCAGCTTCAGCTTGGGGTAAATCACCAGCTCCCTCCTGTTGCCCAGCGTCAGGTTCCTCTGCGCGCCCATGTAGCCACCGTTGCGCCCGATCCGGTCACTGTTGGGCTCGGTCCAGGACTTGGATCCCCGCAGTTTGGACTCATACTGGTCCACCATGTGACTGGTGTAAATCTCGGATGCGGGTGGCATCGGCTCCAAGGTGAAATAGAGTCCACTAGCCGTCTCGTTGGCTTCATCTTTTAGCCTCCTCACCGCGTCGTGGATCCTTTGCCGGTGGTGAGGGATGTAGACCCCGATGGCATCCAGATCGGGGTCTCCGATTTGTTTGCAAACCTCCAGATCGTCATATCCATTATCCACAAAAGCCTCGACGTACTGGGCCAGCTGGAGGGTCTTCAGCCACTCGTACACGATGACAGGTCCGTTGCTTGTCATTTTGGATGTTGCCAGATCGGCCACAACTCGGGACGAAAGAAGACACTAAAGTGATGCTTACTTTCCCATTCGGCGTTTCAAACGCATTATGTGGTTGTTAATGATGGCGTGTGCTCTCTCCAAGTGTTAGGAAAGTAAAGATGTCGGCATTAAACATGTTGTGGATTATCCGTACCAAAGGTTTGGTCCAATCCCCAACCTCACGAGTCCGCGGTAATGCACGACATAACAGAGCCGTAAGTGAATTAAAGGTTCAGCCTGAGTTTGACTGCAACACCTGTCCGTACTTACAAAGGAAGATCACGCGAGTTTCACTTGAAACAGCTTTCAAATCCCAAATGTCATTTCGGTGACTTGCCATGCGCAGTCAGTCCCAAAACGTAGGCTTCCTTAAACAAATAAGAAAGCAGTTGTCTCAAACTATTGTAATCAAAACAGCTTCTCAACCAGATTGTGTGCGTTACGCACGGCAGCTGCTGCGTCTTCAAAAACCAAAAACGTTTTCACAGCTTATATCCTCCTTCCTTAGAGTCCTCTGTATCGCAAACCGCGAGCGCGTTGAATGAATAAATCCAAAAGGACGCCAAAACGGGCTTTAAAAATGACAAAAAGTCGGCTGCCGACGATATTGACAGTAACCGCAAGCTTCCGCGACAAGCCGCTCAGTCTACACGTAGTCCGGTTCTTCCAGCCGGCACATCACTACACTGGAGCCGCAGCCAAGAGCCAACATGCTCACCGCTGCTCCTCTACCGTCCACGCCCCCTCCAAATCTCACTGTACCCATTTAAAAATAGTGACGCGAGTGCTTTTTTTCCTCCCCCTCTACAAACTTGTCACGCCGCCTCGGGGAACACCGTGGGTCACCGGGTCCCACCGACTTGGACAAAGTTGGTCCGAGACGACAGCGCACGTGAAACCTGTCGCACAGTAGAAACGAAACCCCGAGCTGAGGGTTTGTGTCACATTATTCTTCCCCTACGATGTGATTTCGTTCTCCGCACCTCTCTCTCTCTCTCTCTCTCTCTCTCTCTCTCTCTTTCTCTTTCTCTCTCGCTCTCGCTCGCTCAAACACACACGCTCTCACTCATTCAGCATTTCCACGGTTTGGGTTCTCAGTACGCATGAGCTCCCTCTATGTGGCTAGTGGGGCACTGCAGACTTCGCAGCACTGATGTAATAGAAGAAACTGAGGTAGCAACTCATCCATCTGACCATTATCTGTATGAACAGACATTTGATGCGATTTCTTTTTTTGACTTTACAACACTGGAGAGCAAGTGGAGTCCAACTGTCTGTATCAAACTGCAGCCGCACTGGATGCTGTCATTATTAGTATGAGACAAGTCAAACTGTCTGGGGGTAAAAAGAGAGAGAGAGACAGAGAACTCTGCTTGAATAAGACCTGTCCACTCTGTCCAAACGGATAGCCAAGCCAGCCGGTGCTGATGCATGCTTCATCAAATGTGAGCCGACAGCTTGTTAGGGGTCAGTTTGATACAATCACCATCTCGGCTCTGGGCTGGAAGTGATTTGCCTCAGCCCATTATGCCATGCGACGGGGCTCGAGTGGAGGAGGAGTGGGGAAGCATATCAAACAGCCTCATATTGGAGAAATGACGACAGAAACGTGCCAATAATTGATGTCAGAATGTCAGAATGTCAGAAGAGGAGGTGTGAAGCGAGTGTAGATCCTTCATCATGTCTTAGGTAAATCAGACTGGAGTTACTTGACATTTCCCATTATTTACCCGTCGGCTGCCGTCATCGTAATTTCTCAGAAATGCTTTATTGTCCCTGGTCCTTTGTAAACACTCGTATGAAGCGGTTTAACTGACAGGAGCAACAGGGTGCATATGTGTGCAGAGTGTGATATGATGCATCGCAGCTTGGACTTATAATAAACCAAAAGTATCGGTCTCATACAGTGTGACCTTCATAACAATGCACACAGTAATAACATACATAATCAATACAACTAGGCTATATCAGCTTTAATGTCTCAGATTAGGTGGAATATCTGCAGACATTCAAGACAGAATGATGAAGCAGCGAGGAACAATGCATAACATTCACTCTGAACACAAACCTATTAAGTTTATTTTTCCAGCTCTCGTATGAAGGATTAAAACTTACACATCTCTGTTCAGACTTTTCATAGGTCTTTTTTTAGGAGCAGGGCATCGTGGCAGTCGAGTGACAGATGGAACAGGGAGACTGGTGAGTGTGCTGGCAGTGCCAGGAGTGCTGCGTTTCCACTCTGCTGCCCCGGGCCACGTAGAGCGACCAGCAGGTGCCGAGAGAGGCAAGGGTGGCAACCTAACACAAGCGCCTTGTGTTGGCTGTATGATAAATACACCGGACTGTTTGTGTGTAAGGCAATCATCTGAATGAGACTGCCCTGCAGGTGTGCCTGAGTTTTTATGAAAAAAATTGACATATGCTGAACCCTTAAAGCATTTCTACTGAAGTGTGATTTATGTTTTGGGGCTTTATTTTCTTATTAATCATCAGTGACCCCTCAGTTTCATCTTGTGACCCCTTGAAGGGATTCTGACTCGATCATTGGAAACCACTGCATGGTTTTGTGTATACAAGGTCCGAAAATAGAGAAAAAACATCAGTCTAAAACCCCAAATAATCCCTGTATGATAAAGCTATGATGGGTTTTCAATTCTGTAGAACAACTTGATTTAAGTGCATCAACATATATGTTGTTATTGCATTAGCGTAGTGCTTTGTAGAGACATAAAAGGGCAGTCTACGCCCATTTCAAGCAGCAGGCCCATTGCTCTTCCCACTGAGTGAAGCAGTATTGCCCTGGAGCCAGAGGACCGCTGCCACATCAATAACACTTCAATAACCGTCCCTTAATAAAATCTGAAATAGGCAGCTCAGAGCATTAGTGCAGGTAAATATGAATATGTGGCGGTAATAGTGCACGGTATTGGATCTGGTAAATATGTATAGGCTGCTTTGAATGTGTTGATTGAAAGAGTGTGACTGCGGCAAGTCGAGGGAGGAAAAGCTCCAGTAAACACAGCTGGAAGGTGAGAGGAGATCGGCACAGCCAGTCAGACAATAGCAGCTCTGCTGACAGCCAGGCTTTCTCTATGCTAATAGGCTGTGCTGGGTGTTTCTGTTTCTCTCTGAAAAGAAGACTTGGCTATTAGAAGGTGGAGATTTTTGTTGGGGTAAAATTTAAGGTCTCCTTGGCTTCAGTCGTCTTCATTGCACCTTTCAAGACCTCAATTTTAAAATCCTTTGAAGCGGAGAATGGCTTGTCCACCTAGATGCTGACGCACCACAGAGGTCATGGATGTTGGTTTCTAAGTTTAAGATATCTCTCAGGCCCTGATAGATGTGTAGATTCTACTGCCAGCAACACAACCAAGGTGATATAGGAAACACAAATCACAGTTCACGCTTTGAATTCATTGTGGTTCCGTGGTAGAGACGGTTAACCATAGGGTTGGCAGTTTGATCCCGGGCTCCTACTGTCCCCATGTCAAAGTGTGGTAGTGCGAAAAACTGAACCCCAAGTGGCTCCTCGGGTGCTTTACAGCAGCCCACTGCTGCTTAGGAGGGGGATAAATGCAGACGTCAAATGTCATGTATGTACCTGAACGTATATATGACAATAAAAATACATGTGTATTTATTGTCAAATTGTCATGTTGCCAAAGCACTATTAAATACAAATGTATGATTTCAAAATGAAATTATTGTATATAAATATTACATAGTGGGATTTTGCCTTGTCAAAATCTTCAACTCTTTTTTCTTTTTCTTTCGGTTGCACATTTAAGGGTTGGCTGGAGATGATTCTTCAGCAACAGCCGGGACCACAGAAACCATCCTGGAGTGAGCTGATGATTGACTGTGATTGCTGCATCGCACAAGAAGAGTAGGTAGTATCCCAGTGTTCCTGGATATCATAAGCTTCACATGAAAAATACATTTACCATGAAAACAGTTTCTCAGAATTGAACATGAAAATACCAGGAAAAATTGGGGAGTAAGAGAAAAACCTTGGGTGTAATTATTATAATGAGTAGTTTTGTGGTGAAGCTAAAAATCTGTGAAAAATTCACATTGTTTATTGTCTTGGGATGCAATTAAAGGCAAAAGCTGAGCCACTTATTTGTGCAGCCTTAAAAATAAAAGGAGCTCTCCTTGGTGGTCGGTGGTCAGGGGCATCTAGTGGATTCTTTTTTAGCATTCTACTATCTTCAAGAGACAGAGAGACAGAGAGAGAGAGAAGGAAAGAGCTTGATCTGTCTTTACGCGCTTTAATTACGAGCGGCTGGCTGGGCTGCAATCGACAGGGACCAAAGGTGAAGCAAGCGCGTCAGGACCAGCTGCCACCTCGCTGGCAGCTCAATATCAACCTAAACATCCCCAAACCCACAGGGAGAGACGGGTGGCAGGTCGGGGTTAATGCAAGGATTGCATGTCTAAGCATATCAGCCCCAGACACCTGTCAATCACCACGCAGAATCCGTCTGTAAAGGCAACAGGTCAGATGTCTGTGTTAGCATTCTCACTGGTGCAATACAATAAAAGTGACGCCATCAATCAAACCACTACTTTGAGTTGCAGTAGGAGCCAACGTGTCAACTTCTCCTGGGGTATGGTTCCGTAAGAGTTGCGGGAGATGATGACACAGATCTCTGATCAGACAGTAAAGCGGTGATTACCTTCAGTGGAGCGCAGACTTCATTTCAAATCAACCTTTTCTCCGGCAACACACTACATTTTCAGCTCCCGAACTGGGCTGGAGGGAGCCTTGCAGCCATGGATATCTGAAACAGAAAATAAACGTCTGCATAACAGTGATCCAGATCTTTGTTTTTTCTCATTGACTCTGCTCAGAACATCCGTTTTATCCCCTTACAACCTGATTATAAACCGGCAGTATACATTAATAGCTTGAAAGCCTTTCCCAGGGAACAAAACACGAGGCACATAAAAGAGATAATTTGTGCAGTGCAAGTGCTGAGAATGAAGACATTGCTAATGAAAATTACTCTTGGTGCAAACCAGTAGTTAAAATTTATTGTGTTTATTGTGCCGAGAATTAAAAAACCCACATGGCGGGCTAATGAGCTAAAAACATTTCGGCAAAACACAGAAACTTCAATTAATACATAAATTTTATTTAAATGGGTCAGACAGTCTTCAAACATTAAGTGTTTGCACCGAGCTTATTTGTGTTGAAGCGTGTTAAAAACAGAAGTCACAGTTGAGCAGGAAAAAAATGCCAAAATCCCACGATTCCCACAAACCCGGTAACCTAAGAAACTGCTGCTTTGTCGTCTTAAGCCGTTATCATGGAAACCCAGGCTTTACCAAAGAGAGAATTATCAGGCAATAGGACTCCTGTTATTGCCCTGAGTGGTACTTTAATAAGACCCAGCTAACCTGTGACCTGACTTTGCAGCAGCAGAGTTTGTTGAGGGAGAGATTTGGCGGCTCAAAGGGCATCGACATGCCCACCGGAGCCGCCACTTAATACCCAGTCAGCTGCACCGATATGCCACCACGGTGACCCAGAGGCCATGTGATTAGTATGGACGGCCATGCGGCGACCGAGCACAGCAGCGTAAGTGGATTATGTATATATGCAAATTTTTGACACTTGGCCACTGGCAGTTTGAGACATGCAACTGTGAGTGGTGATAAAATACTTTTTTTTCATATTTTTACTCGGTTACTGAAGTATATCTTTGCTGCTGTAACATACAAATGTCCCCCTGGGGATGAATAAAGTATCTATCTATCTATCTAAAATGCATAAATGTGTGGCATAGTTTTCTTTTGCAGTTGCGTACTTGTGCTGAAACCAGTCAATGGTTACGCATAATTAAAAATACAGTGGTACATACACAGAACTAAACACACAACAACCTCCAGAGACCACTCACACACCTGTTGATGTTAAGGCTGGAGATAAAAAGAGCTGTAAATTAGTTATTGTGTCTGTCTGC